AAATGCAATTTCGGTGTATCCTGCACCGGAAATGTCGACCCCTGCGCATGCGACTTTGCGAAGTGTCGGCGTAGACATCCCTGCAGCCAGAAGCACATGGATGGCGTAGTCTACGTCGCAGGTCCTGTGACCAATCTCCTGAAAAATCTTCGTGGCGTCGGCTGCTTCGGAGCACTTGGCATGCGCGATGCTGCCTTGCACGGGCAAATTGCCAAACAATTCTACTACGGAAACAATGGCCTGCAACGGCGCAGCACTTGCGAAGGTAGAGTAATCTAGGGCAACAGCATAGGGCCACAGGGGCCTTGCAAATTTTGAAGGCAAATTTGGATTACCAGTTATTCAGACAAGGTTGGCTTTAGGGGCTGTGGTCGGCCCCAACACATTAATCGTATGTGTTGTCGCCTCCCAGACAAGTTCATCAAGTCCCATATTTTTAGACACTGCTCGCTGTAAGGGATTAGCCAGTGTGCTTTCTAACCGACTAGTTTATCGAAGTCGTCCTGATGGTACCAATATATACCTCCGCTAAATGGCACGTGGCACTTCTGAGTGACTTTCATGCTTTCGGTGAGTTTGAGGCTTAAGGGCGAGAACAATGCCAATGATGATGGTGAAGAAAAAGATATGACTGGGTACCATGACGGTGGTGGCCATGAAGATGCCTTCACAGGGCATGGCCAAGCTGATGATCGTGGATGATGGACAGCCATGGCCCACGATGGGGTTGATGATGGTGATGACGATTCTGGTTACTGTAGGGTTTAAGAGCAGGAAGAAGTTGTTCATGGAGAGAGGAGTCATGGCCACAGGCTTGATGGGATGACGATACCGCTACCGGTGAGACTTTGACGTGGGGAGGTAATGCCGATGACGATGAGCATTGGCATTGTGGCTGATGGTGATGACGATGATGGCGATGCTTGCGATTGTGAGGCATGTCTGTTGACAGCGGCGGTTATGATGATGGTCATGATGTCGATGACGGTGGTGGTGATGATGATGGTGATGGTGATGGTGATGGTGATGGTGATGATGATGATGAACAAGAAGATGATGATGGTGGTCTTGCTGCAACTAATGCTGTTGAGGATGCAACCGCAATGCCAATGTCCTAATATTGGCTATGACGGCAGACGGCAGACAGCACGATGGTGCCGATAATGCTTTTTGCTGCCGATTCTGCCGGTTCCGGTGGTAATGACGATGATGGTGGTGCTGAAGGGGTGACAAATGACAAAGGAGACGGGAGGAACTGATGAACACAAAACTGAGGAACACGTGCTTCGACGATACTCGTGCAGAAACGGAAGCTGGTGATGATGGCGGCCGAGGATTCTGGTGGCAGTGCTGGTGGCAAAGTGGAAGACAGGGTGGTTGTAACTGGGGTAGCCGGGCCCCAAACTCGGAAATAGGTGCCGAAGGCGCCTTGAAATCCACGGCTGAGCTGCCTCGCCTCCTCTTTCTGACTTTGCCCGTTGACACGGTCGACCTGGAACAATGCTAAGGGGCTTGCTTGTCCAATTCGGGGATCAAAAGGCTAACCGTTGGGATAATACAGTTAGTTTGTTGAGGGATTATACTACCCCAGAAAGGTTTAAGCAGAGTTTACGTACAGTACTCTTCCCTAAACCCTGCCCTAAACCCTAAACCCTAAGATCCTAAACCCAAATTCCTGCCCGCCATTTACGCTCCGGGCTTGCCGGATCTGAAGCTTTGCGGGACGTAATGTAGGGGCCTAAATACCCCAATAGGTTTTGGCATAGAGTGTACTATACTAATAAGGAGCCCCAAAACAGCAGTAGAAAGCATTTAGGCCCCTATCTTACGCTTTGGTAACTTTGGTACATGTGTGGGCTTTTCGGCTGAAACAAGAGGCTTCTATGCCTCCAGCAAACCGAAGATGAGGATGCCGGTAACAAACAGAGAATGCAGGAGGGGTGTCAGAGCAGCAGCGCCGAGCATGTCGAGCTCGTCATAGTCGGGAAGAGTTGGCGACTGCCAGGGGTAGAGAAGGGAGCCGCACATGAAGGCCCCTGTCCTGGAAGGCATTCTGTAATGGCAGATTCCCTTCACCCGCTGTCAATGAGTCCTCAACCCGTAACTTTAATCGTCTGTCGAGTCATATATGGCTTCATAAGGGGTTTTGAAGGCTGTGCAAGGCCACGGGCTTTATGACTTTGTCAACCTTCTTTCCGCGAATTTTTAAAGATGAGTTTGTCGAAACCGCATGGCGAATCATAGGCAAGCATCCTGTTCATGATTTTCCGGCACATTTGGTGCTCCATGCAGACGCTGGCGAAAGCCGTAGCAGTCATCAAGCACAAGGAAAGCCTGGGTTACGACATGGTGGTTTAACGTGTCTAGTCTTCAGGGTTTCGAAGGTATACGGTTGTTTGTAGGCTTTAGGGTTCAGTGTTGAGGGTGTTTGGGTAAGAGTGTGGGTTGAGAGAGTTTCTGGGTTAGGTCCTTCGGGCTTGCAGGTCCGAAGTGTTTCGTTTCGGAGCTCCGGATGATCCGGCGTTAGGTCGTGCCAGACCTCCCAGAAACCCTGCTTTACCCCTGGGCCTGATGAATTGCGGCATCCCACTGAGCGCAGACAGTAGCAAGGGGGTCCATATACACTACTATGATGGAATTAGGTCCCCAAAACCATAATCAGGATGGTTTTGTGGGACCTAATTCCATAATGGTAGTATATATGGACCCTCTGGGGTAGCAAGAAGGACTCCGATCAGCTTGGAACACAGCTTGGGAACGCTGGAAAGATGGTTTGCGAACAACCTTCGCCAGCCAAAGCCTGCAAAGCGACGCCGCAGATCATCCACAAATTCTTGCCGAAACTGAGATCGAGAACAGGCGATATCGTCTCAGGAACCCCAAAAGCCAAGCCTGCAAAGACCGTACGCAACCTGCTTAAACATCCCTATAAACACACAGGCACTGTCGACGACCCTTTACAAGCCCTCCTCCATGAAGACGGGATGCCCGCGCACGACTCTGTTTTCTAACAGGTCATGGATGCACGTGAAGCAGACGCTCATTAAAATGCCCGACAGTCCTGCCACAGAAACCCTAAACCCCTAAACCCCTAAACCGCTATAGGGTGAAGGTTTAGGGCTGTAAACCTCAAAACTTGGGTATGGAGCTTTAGACCTTACTCAGGCTTAGGACTTAGGGCTTAAGGGTTTAAGGGTGCCAAAATGAAAAAGTCCAAGGTTTTTCTCTTTTGGACATCCCCTTCCAAGCTTTTCAGACCAGCCCAGCCCAGCCCAAGCCCAGCCCAGCCCAGCCCAGCCCAGCCCAGCCCAGCCCAGCCCAGCCCAGCCCAGCCCGGGGCCTGGGCTGGGGGCTGGGGGCTGGGGGC